GTTTGCATGTCCTCGCCTACTCTTTTTGACACCCTTTGCTGGAGATGCAAGGACCAGGCTTCACTGGCATCATGGAGGCTAGCCCAGGCCTAGGGAAAACAGAAGTGCAGGTATGTTTTGATTCCAAAGTACAATAAGTCTGTAATGGACCAGCAACAACAAAATATGCAGAAGACATTAAGGCAAAGACCAGATCATAGGCCACTGTGGTTCCCAAGGGACACAGGCTTATTGGAAGAAGGCAACTATCATGGAACCAACTTGCAGTCCAAAAGCCAGAGGAGTAGATGAAGACCACTGGGAGAACCCAAGATAAGTTGAAATAGCAATACCTGAAACAGGAGCAACAGCATGGAAAGAATGGGAAAAAATCCTCAGCTTGCAGGGAGTGGATGAGGAGGGGCAGAAGCAGCCCTGGGGTTGTGGCCTATGGCTCTGCTCAGCAAATAGTAAACTGGGAACAGGGGAAAACCAAGGTCCCTAAACTAGACAGTACCATCCCATAAGCCTAGGGCTGAAGCAAATCCCTGGCATGCCTATAGCCTTCCATTCAGTTGGGGTGTCCAACACCCAGACTCTGGTCTGCTGACCCGCAGTGTGCCAAGGGGAACGGATGCCTCTTAGTTTCCTCGTAGCTTCAGGACAAAACGCAGCACCTCAGGTGGAGACAGGGGTGACTTGATGGACCCAAGTCACCAAGTTTCTGAGTGTTCCTTCTTTGGTCAAGCATTGTATGTGTGCTAAATAAGAGGGTTCCCCTAGAACTGTAGCCCACAGGCTTTAACTGATTACTTACAGTCTAGGGAGCACACAGAACATATGATAAGAGAAAGGTTGTGGGAGATCAGATGTGGGAACCTGTAAGAAGAGGTATCAAGTGTTGGGGCTCAGAGGATGTAGGTACTTGACTGATAGGGTGGTTGTGGAGAAAGAGAAGGGGCAGGGCCTTCTAAAGAACCCAGAACCAACCATTGGGAGTGGTTAAAGTTCTACACAGACCATCGTTTGATCAAAGGCTTAATGTGAGACATGAAGGACTAGCAGCAAAAAGGGCTTAGATCGAGGGGGCCCGTGATGAGAGACAAGTGCTGGTTCAAATTTGATAAAGTCAAGGCTAGAGTGTTCCTGGCTTTTCTGTGGGAAAAAAAAATCCTAAATTCAGGGTGTGGTCGCATATGTGATCCCAGCACTGAAAAGACTGAGGCAGGAAGATCAAGAGCTCAAACCCAGCGTGGGCTTTATAAGGAAACCATACAGAAAAATAGAGATGGGATGTGGTAGCAACTAATAGGAAATTTCTCTGAGATCTCTAGCTTGATTTTATTAATTTTCCTGTGCTCAGGATTGAGTCAGGTCCCTTGTACATGCTAAGTGAAGACCCTACCACCACTAAGCTACCTGAGGCATATCCCTGGCCTCTCTAGCTGAAATTTAAGACTTTAAATTGACTTTGCACCCTATTTCATAAAGCATATGTGTATTTACAACCCCAGTCTTAAGGTAACATCCATCACACAGGGAAGGTAGGCCACAGGCTGCCTATCACTCTCTACTCCTGTATGGCCTTCCCAGCTCTCCCAGGAAGCACTGCTGCAAGCTGTGGGATTAGTTTTGCCAGTAGCCAGTGACATACAAAAGCAGCATCTCTGTGCCTTTATTTGCGGCGGTAACTAGAATGGATTGGCTTTACAAGGTTTACAAGGAAGGTTGCCACCATGCCTGGCAGCACTAGGGAGGCTGAGGCAGGAAGTTTCCAGTTCAAAGCCAGCCTGGAATACATAAAGGAGACTCTGTTACAAACAAACAAAAAAATTAAAGATTGTCTTAAGGAAGGAAGACAGGGAAGAGAGGTGGATTGGACTGTCACTCTTATAGGTCATTGCACACCCTGCACACCCTGCAGGTCCTCTAAAGCTCAGGACCTAATAGATCCCTTTGGCTCGCTGTCATCTCCCTCTCCCATACTGAAGCAAATGTTAGGTTAAGTGAATGGAGAAGAAAAGATCTGACTGTTCCCACCCCTCCGTCACTAGTTCTGCTTCAGTCTTCACCCTGCCCTCCCTTCCTGGACTTGGATCCTCAGCTCTCATTGACATTCTTGAGCAGTAGACAGGCAGAGTCCAGGTAAGCCTATTTGGTAGAGAGGTTAAGACATATGGGGAGCTCCTCATGTACCCAGAGAGGGACAGGATGATGGCTGACACAGGAACTCCAGGGAAGATGTTCCAACTGTCCTTAAGAACCTGGCTGTGGCTGAATCAAGGACACGATGGGGCTACTCCAAAGCAGAAGACCCCACCTCCTAAAGAAAGGTTCTGTGGCCATGGGGAGTGCAGTTTGGGCAGAATAACAGCAGGAAGGTTTCTTGTGGTGTTTCTCCATTTACAAGGAGCTTTCCTTCTGTACACAACTGATATGTTTCATGTAGGTCTCACAGGCCCTGAGTGGCAGGAATGTCCATCCCTGCTTATCTCCAAGGAGGCAGGGAACTGTGTCCTAGGATGCACAGAACCAAGAGGTTTGAGCGGAGTTCTGCTTTTCCTTGTCTCGCCCTCCACACTGCAACCATGAGGGACTGAAGCCCTGATAGATTCCGTTTCTACTTCTCTGAAAATGAACCCTGGAAGTTAGCGGTCCACTGTGTCAGAGCACATTCTCCTATTTATCCTAAGCTGCAATTCTCTAGTTCTAAGAGTCCCCACCCCCCAACATCTCCAGTTTCAGGATTCAGCAGGCAAGTCCTCCACTCATTTAGGTCTTTTATTGTGTTGTAGATTTTCTTCTTGTTTCCCAGCAAGCCCTCCCTGTTCTCCATTTTGCCAACCATCCCCTCTCTCTCTCTCTCTCTCTCTCTCTCTCTCTCTCTCTCTCTCTAACCCAGGACTTTGGGTATGCTATGCAAACACTCTCCCACTAGGCTACACTCCTGGCTCTGGTCTCTGACTTCCCTACGGCCATAGCATCCTCCCTGAGAGCTTCTGGGTCAAGCACTTAGCTACATGGTTTCATACGCGAGAGGAAGAAAGTTCTGCTTTGCTTTGTTTTTGTTTTCAATCATCTTTGCTATGATGCTATCTTTTTTTTTCTTTTTCAGTCTTTTTGGTGAAAGCCAAACTTTGGGTTTTCAAAGAGCCAGCTGTAATGCCTTCATTATTTCTTCCCTGATATGGAGTCCTTAATTTCCTGCATAGTTTCAGTGATTTCCCCCCCAAAAGCAGTGGGAACACAAGCCCCTAAGATGTATACGGACTGTGATGGGAATAGTTGGGGTGTGAGTCTATGTTTATCAAGGAGGGCAAGGGACAAACAAAAGATGAGGAGCAAGGTCTCAGCCAGAACCTTAGGACTGAGGAGTGGAGGCAGGAGTGTGAGAAATAAGAATTATATTTTCCTTATGGGTGGAGGAGGAGAAAAGTGGACTTTTTAAGATTACTCATTGTTAAACAATTTTTTTGTACCCCGGATGAGTTGTCCTGTTCAAGTGTGTAGATTCGGAGTTCCCTTCTGCTTAACTGGGCTCTAGTTAGAGTTGGAGGTCAGGGAGAGAGGGTGGCCATTATACTGGTCCAAAGGAGTCAGAGCTCTCTCTCAGTCAGAAAGAAGCAAACAGGGCAATTGAGACATCTTTCTTGGGCAGATTAAGAGGATGGTGCAGGCATCATGTGGACCACAGAGTGGATTTCATCTACCTCCTTTTCCCTTTCCCCTATCTCAGGAAGGCAGGATTTGCTTTACGAAAGGGCTACGATCTCTTTGTCTGGTGGGTTCTTGTCGCTCAGGAACCGTGAGTGGGCCAACAACCAGACTAGGAGTGTGAGGGCATCTAGTCGGCGGTACTGGAATTTAGGGTTAGAAAGGGGGGGGGGGGAGGCATAACAGTCGACTCCGAGTTTGTGAGGGAACTGAGACTCTCAGGGGCTTGCGGGTGGAAGGATGTTCACTGACCCGCTGCTGATGTACCTATAGCTTATTCTTTGCTTTGTTGGTCTTGATTCTTTCCTCACATTTGTATTGTGGAAGTCTATCGATGCCCTGATCTGTTTGAGCTAGAGTGGGGTTGTTTCGCAGAGGTACCCTGTTCTAAGGCCAGGCTGCGTCGTTGTCGTTTCATTTCCCTGCTCCCTCTGGGTTCAACAGACAGAAGGGGCAGAAAGAATCAAGTTTGCAAACTGGAAGTTGGAAATTCAGGGGACACCCCCACCCCCGAGAAGACCCCATTGCACAAACCGCAGCTGGGCAGGCGCTGCCGGATAGAGGACATGCCAGCCGGCCAGGGACATTCTGTCCACCACTATTGGACACATCGTCTCTTCGGGAGAGACCCACTTTGCCACCCCAAACATTCTGTCCGCTCAAAACCCCACGTGTCGCTGACATTCTGTCTGATTCTGAGGCGGCTCTGAATCTGGACCCTTCCAGATCTCGACGCCCCACGACAGGTCCGTCACTTTTGTCGCGTTGAGCTGGCAGCCTCGGCCCTGTAGCCAGCGGCCATCTGACCCAGTAGCTACTCTCGCAATACGGCTCCTATTCCAACTGCGGAGCAGCTGGGAAGAAAAGCAGGAGCTACTATAAGCACCCCTACTTCCAGCTGCTGCAGTCTGTGTAAGCCTGGGCTAAGGGGCGCTGGGCGCTGCCTGTTGCCCTTACGCCGGACGACCGTAGCTTTCTGCTACCCCTATTACCTTCTGGTCACTTGCCCTCTTCCCCTAGATACCAGGGTGCTTTCTGGCAAAGGTTTCCAGACGCCCTGCTCTGTGATCCATGCAGTTCTTCGGCTTCTCTCCGGGTCCCCTTAATCATCCCGGTCCCCCAGGTCCTTACCCGGAGTTTCCCTTCTCCCATGTACCAGCCCGGGGGCTGCTGTACGCCTTTCCAGAATTGACCGGTTCCCCAAACACCAGAGTTCAGCCGCCCCAGGTTCCCTTTTAGGAGTCCCAGAGCCAGTCTTGACCCTCCGGTCCCCTGAGCTCCTGTTCCCCGCATGGCCGAGCACTCACAGTGCGTCCCGCAGCAGGCAGACTCCCGGTGGTGGTGGTGGTGGTGGTGGTGGTGGTGGCGGCGGCGGCGGCGGTGGCGGCGTTCTGGAGCGCAGGCAGGGGCCAGGGGCCAGGCACCCTGCCGGGTGGGGGCCGCCCCCCTGCTCTGGGGCGGCCGCTCTGCTGGGTGCTCCCAGGCTAGCAGAGGAGAGAGTGAGCCTCACAGAGTAGTGCCACCCCCCGCCGGCGCCCATTCACTTTAAGGCAGCCCAGGGCGCCCCCAGCCCGCCGCCGCTAGCTGCGCGCCCTATGCCCCGCCCCTTTCCAGCTGCAACGCCCAGACTCCTCCCTTTCCAGCTGTGAACCTTCAGGCCCCGCCTTAGTGGGGAGGGGTCCTGCCGGCGGGCAGCCAAGAACCCCGCCCTCTGACCAATCAAAAGCGTCCGCCAGCAACAAAGTAACGCCCCTTCCCCACGTGGCCGGGACGGCGCTCCAGCCGGGACGCTCCGGGTCGGCTAAGCCAGCAAAAGTACCGTGGTCGGCGTTGCGGCCCGAGTCCAGCCCAGTTGGTGGCTTGGGCTCTACTCGGAGCGACGTGAAGCAGTGCCTGGGGAGAGGGCTGAAGGAGGGCCGGGTGAAACGGCGAACCCGGCCGCCGAGTCTCAGCGCTCACACTTTGCTGTCGCTTGTTTCGCCGATTTTCTCCACTTGTCGCTGTCTGTCTTTCCACTCTTTGTCTCTGTTCCAGTCCTCTACATCTCTCCTTCTGACCGCCGCTTTGCTCCCTACTCTGCCACTTTGGAAGGGTAATTTCTCTTTTCAAGACCATCCCACCCCCTTTTCCATCACATCTTTTCCTTCCCAGCTATCTCTAATTTTTTCCTCCCCTAACGAGGATAACTTGGAGAAAGGGGTTGGAACGAGAAAAATCAAAGTGGTGTACAGCACTTTCCCTCACTCAGTGACCTTGGACAAGTAACAACGGTGCCAGCTCCCACCCTGGCCAAAATAAAAGGAAGCTTCAGTGGCTCTCTGGCCTTAGGCTGGGTGCTCTTCACAGATGTGAGCGCTTGGCTTCTCACTCTGCACTATCAGTTTGCCTGGGCTGCGCTCTTCCAGCTTGCTTCAGCGATTCCCCTCTCCCCCCCAATCAGTCCCCACCAATCAGTCCCATGGAGAAGGGGTAGCCTTCGCTCCTTTTGCTTAGGTATTTGCAAGGGACAAGGCAGATGTTCAAGGAATATGATAGGCTGGGTTATTTGGTGCCCCTGAGATCCTAAGCCCTGTACACAATATACTCCTAAAATGACCCTGAGCATACGTACCGATTCTTTTTTTCTTTTTTTTCCGAGACAGGGTTTCTCTGTGGCTTTGGAGCCTGTCCTGGAACTAGCTCTCTAGACCAGGCTGGTCTCGAACTTACAGAGATCCGCCTACCTCTGCCTCCCAAGTGCTGGGATTAAAGGCGTGCGCCACCATCGCCCGGCTAGTACCGATTCTTAAAACAAACCAGTTACCTTTATTGCACTCAGGAGAAAGGACAAGGTTTTTAGGGTGGAATTCTAGACCTTCGGGACCAGAACTCCCCTATCTCCCTGTTGATAGGGTCTTGCCTCTGTAGCTCTGTGATTTTCACTGGCCCTAAACTTTTAACTGTTTTCCTATCTTTGCCTGTACTGAATGCAGTGTTTCCAGGTGTGCGACATGACACTGAGCTCTTAGTCGTCAGTTTCGTTTGTACTGAACACATCTCATCTTTCCTGGCAATAACCAATCATATCGCTGATACTGACTTTTTAACTTTTTTTTTCTTTTGAGACAGGTTTCTTCGTAGCTTTGGAGCCTGTCCTGGAAGTAGCTCTTGTAGACCAGGCTGGCCTCAAATTCAGAGATCCACCTGCCTCTGCCTCCCGAGTACTGGGATTAAAGGCGTGTGCCATCAGCAGCCACCATACTGACTTCTGAGTTCCACTTAGGTCCTGTTTTATCTGAGAAGCCATCCCCGAACTGCCAGGTAAGTCAGATGTATTACCTCTTAACTCCCATGCCCCCATGTTTGCTCTTGTTCATCTTCGATATTGAAAGGATCAGCTTATCTATTGTCTTCTATAAAATAAAATTTAGTAAAGTAAGAAGCATTTCTTCTTTATTATTCTATTTGTGAGCATATTTAAACTCAATAAGTTTTAACTGTTAAATGATATGTAATACTTATAAAAGATGGAAGGAGGGGCTGGAGAGATGGCTCAGTGGTTAAGAGCACTGACTGCTCTTCCAAAGGTCCTGAGTTCAATTCCCAGCAACCACATGGTGGCTCATAACCATCTGTAATGAGATCTGATGCCCTCTTCTGGCCTACACGCAGGATACTGTATAAATAAATAAATAAATCTTAAAAAAAAGATGGAAGGATTGTCATATCTCTGTCTACCTACCTGTCTGCCTGTCTACTGTCTATCCATCCATTTATCCTATCTATCTATCTATCTATCTATCTATCTATCTATCTATCTATCATCTATCCGTCCATCCACCCACCCACCCACCCACCCATCTATATCTGTCTGTATCCCCATCTTTAATGCACAAGCACATCCTTTTAAGATGTCTAACATCTGGAGACGTGTGTCGGTAGTGATGGACGAGTTGGGAGTTTTAGTTCCCTTACAGGGTTTTCCAATGGTCTTTCCAACATGAGACAGGCCCAAAAGATCAAGCCCTTATTTTCATGAAGAGAAAAATGGGTCAGAGGTACCATAGAATGAGGAGCTTTGGTGATGTTTCATCTTCACCTGACTTCCTTTAGGTCCTTAGCTGGATCAAGACCAAGACACCGATCATAGGTACGGGGAGATACTGGGGCGGTGGGGGTGGGGGTTCTTCGTGTCAGACTTCAGTTCTGAGTGGTTCTTTAAATTAGAGGGCCATGGTCCATGGAGGCCTTTGGATGCCTGTTCCAAGACCACAGTCCTATGGGCTTAGGTATGGAACGTCCCTGGACTCCAGTTGTCCATAAATGGACAGACGTGGAGAGAGTGGCTATTCAGTGCTTTTCTGCAATTCTGGGTTCTGTCGGCAGATCAGCTGGGAATTCCAGCACCTATTCTGCAAGCAGAAAGCCTCCCTCTTGCCCTCTTTTCATACATTCCCATTTCTGGATACTTTTTTTTAAGTGTGCATTGGTGTTTTCCCTGCATGAGGGTGTGGGGTACTCTGGAACTGGAGTTATAGACAGCTGTGAGCTGCCATGTGAGTGCTGGGAATTGAACCCGGGTCCTCTGCAATAACAGCCAGTGCTCTTAACCACTGAGTCATCTCTCCAGCCTCTCTAGATACTTTTATTATCTTAGCATTTTCTGTCTTTTGAAAGGAGAGACTTGTTAGCATTTTTTTTTAAATGATTTGTTTTGCCAGGTGTGGTTGCACATGCTTTTAACCCCGGTCCTCAGGAGGTAGTAGCAGGCAATCTCTGTGAGTTTGAAGCCAGCCTGGTCTACAGAGTGAATTCAAAGACAGCCAGGGCTACAGAGAGACCTTGTCTCAAAAACAAAAACAAAATTATTTGTGTGAGTATGTGCCCAAAGTGTTGGTGCCCTCTGGAGCTGGGGTTATAGTAGGTAGTGAGATGTGTAGATGCCAGAAACTGAACTCAGGTCTTCGGGGAGAGCAGAAAGCTCACTTCACTGCTAAGCTAACTCTCTAGCCTCTCCTGTCAGCAGCGCTAAGGCAAACGAGGAGTTTTCATTTTTCTGTCAATGATGTGGACTAATGATGTGAGATTAGGCCCTCAAACTCGATCCTCCTGCACCATCCACCCAATTGTTTGTTAAGATTTGTTCAAGGTGCCGGGTGGTGGTGGTGCACGCTTTTAATCCCAGCACTCGGGAGGTAGAGGCAGGCAGATTGTTGTGAGTTTGAAGCCAGCCTGGTCTATAAGAGCTAGTTCCAGGACATGCTCAAAAACAAAAAACAAACACACACAAACAAACAAACAAACAAAAAAACCCCTCAGATTTGTCCAAGGCTTAATAGGAAGGGCTGAACTCAGAGTCAAATCCCTATGGCGTAAGGTAAAAGAACTATTGGGGGGGGGGGCTGGAGAGATGGTTCCATGGTTAAGAGCACACTCTGCTCTTTCAGAAGACCAGGGTTCAGTTCCCAGCACTCACTTGGCAATTTGCAACTAGTTTTCAGGAGATCCAAACAGGCACTTCACATGTGGAAAAAAACCATTCACATAAAATAAATAAAATCTTTTTTTAAGAGAAGTATCAACGTTTTTCTTTTTCTTTTTCTTTCGTCCTCCTGAACTTGCTGGATAGGTGGATCTTGCTGAACTTGGATCTGTTGTTCTCTGCTAGGCATGGAACCAGCTTTCCTTAATAGAACTTTTTCCAGTTCTGGAACACGAGGAAATTAGTTCAATTAGATATCCAAGATTCCCGCTACCATTTTTCTCTATTTCTGGACGGTAGGAATGGAGTTTAAAACACAAAATCAGAGTTGGAATGAGACAGGCGCACACACCTGCGATAAGTCAAAATGGGAAACAGAGACAGGACGGCACGGAAAGATTGCATGGATTGGATTTAGGAAGGAGGATCCCCAGACTTCCCCGGAAAGGAAGGGATCCCTAAATATCAATGTCCAGTTAACTTTGACAAGAGTTCGGGGAGTAGGGTCGCCCGCTCACGCTCTCAGAACGGACCCCGCCCCCTTTCCAGCAAATCATATTCTTCCTCCCGAGGCTGCCCAGAAGCCAATGCTAAACAGCGCGCTGCAACCGAACACTACCTAACCCTACCCCTCTAACCGCCCAACACGATTTCTCATTTTTTATTGGCTTCTATAACCGTCAGTCAGAGAATCCTCGTATCCGTTGGCTGTCCCCGACCTACTCTCCGTTCCCTTGTAATCTGGGCTGGTCTCTTCGGGCACTGCACGCCTCCCGGAGCCAATTTCTTTCCTTGGATTGGGTAGCTGGAGTGCCACTTCCCAGGGTGCCACACTCTGATTGGCCGAGCGTGGCCGGACTCGCTCAGTTACCAGGCAGCGGGCTAGACTGAGGCTAGTTACCACGTCAGTGAGCTGACAGGAAGGTAG